TTACGGGTTAAGAGCACGCAATAATTAACTGAGGCCTAGTTCGTTTACGACGATCAATATAAAACGAACATCCCTCTATGGGATCCTGTTCAATACATAAATGTATCAGCGCAACTAATCGGTCAAGACAAACCGTACGGTTGACACTACAACCGTTCTGATGGGTTGTTCAATTCAATCTAGGTTGTGAACCAACGATTCTTGTTTCGCAAGTAACTGATATAGTGATCTTCGGTACGCCCAATGACGACCCAGTTATCTACATGCAAAACAACAGAACGTGGAACTTATTTAACCAAACATAATTCTCATTCATCAAGGAATAACAAGTGTAATATCCACTAAAGCAAAGCTTAAGTATATAACACCAACACAAACGTTTTAGCCGTCTTTATCCTTTTACTATGTCTCGGTTTTTCATTAGTACCCTCTGGTACAGAACCACTAGCAGTTTCATATGTTCGTTTACTAGAACTAGATTCTACCCTTTCTTTCAGAGGAAAAATATTCTCAAACAATATGGCATTCCTCGACTCAATCGTGGTACCAACAGATACCTCTGGATTTTCTGATTTATGAACCAGAAATCTATATGCCACACTATTGTACGAATATCTAATAAAGATACAATCAACCGTCTTTGGTCCGATTCTTACTTGTTTAGGTTCAGGTACTGAAACCTTAGCCAAACACCCCCACACATTCAAGTATTTATAAGACGGCTTACGATTTTTTCACATTTTGTAAGGGGTCTCATCTTTCCCTTTAGGTGGTATTTTATTCAGGATATGATTTGCTGTTAAAACAGCTTCCCCCCACATGTTCTGTGGTAATCCTGAATTAATCAACATGGCATTCATCATCTCTTTAAACGTACGGTTCTTGCATTCAGCAACACCGTTCGACTGTGGAGAATAGGGGGCTGTCGTTTGATGAATTATGCCATATTCAGAACATATTTGTTCAAAAGGAGCTACGTACTCCCCACCACTATCACTTCGGATTGTTTTAATCCTTTTGCCGAGTTGATTTTCAACTTCGGTCTTATAGACTTTAAATGCTTCCACAACCTCATCTTTGCTTCTTAACAAATATAAGTAGCAAAATCTTGTGCAATCATCGATAAAAGTAATAAAATACTTTTTACCCGTTTTTGTTTGCACACTTTTCATATCACATACATCAGTATGGATCAAGCTTAATGGTTCAGTACTCCTTTCCACCGAGTGAAAAGGCAACTTAGCCATTTTTGCTTCAATACAAATTTTACATTTCTTATGTGATTTGATTTTAGAATTAGGAATTAACTCTAAATTCATCAATCATTTAATTGCATTTAGATTTACATGTCCCAATCTAATATGCCATAAATCAGAGCACTCGACGGTATAAACAGAAATAGGCTTTTCATTATCATTGTAAACGGTTACACGGCTCACAGCCATTACATTCATTTTGAACAAGCCCTTGTCGAGATAACTACGACCAAGGAATTTTCCAAACTTGCTAAGAATAAACTTCTTAGCATCAAACACCAGCCTAAATCCATGCTCAACAAGAAGAGATCCAGAGACCAAATTTTTGCGAATGTCTGGGACATGCAGAACACCCTTAAGCTTCAACTCCTTTCCAGAAGTGAGCTTCAGCACCACTGTGCCAACTCCAGCCACATCAGACGTGGAGGAGTTTTCCATGTGGAGTTTCCGACCCTTAGCAGGAGTGTATTCAGAGAACACCTCCTTATTGGAACACAAATGGCGAGTGGCACAAGTATCGATGTACCACTCCCTTGGGTTATCCACCAAATTGGCTTCAAACACCACAACCGACATATTAAAGTCGGTCAATTCACCCGACACAGGGCCGTGTTCAGCAACGAGGGCACTCGGTTGCCCTTTCTTTGGCCCAGCCTTCTTTGGCCTCTTGCAGCCTTTCGCCATATGGTTTGACTTTCCACAGTTGTAGCAAGTGCCAGTAAACTTCCAAACCTTGGCGGGCTGCTTCCCTTTGTTAAGGGACTTTCTCTTGCTCCAGCAAGTTCGCACGAGCCTCTATCATTGGGGCTTTCCCCAATGAATTAAGGTTGTCCTCCTCAATACGAAGACGAACCACTAGATCTTCAAGACACATCTCCTTTCTCTTGTGTTTGAGATAGTTCTTGAAGTCCTTCCAGCCTGGCGGCAGCTTTTCGATCACAGCCGCTACTTGGAATGACTCGCTCAAAGTCATCCCTTCAGCATGAATATCATGCAAGATCAACTGGAACTATTGCACTTGTGACACGACAGTCTTCGTGTCAACCATCTTGACGTCAAGAAATTTGCCGACGACGAACTTCTTCGCCCCGGCATCCTCAGTCTTGTACTTATTTTCCAAGGCAGCCTAAAGCTCTTTGGCAGAACTAACAGAACTGTACACATTATACAACTCGTTACTAAGTCCAT